GATTTCGCGCGTGGATGATTTATGTTTGATGTCACACAAAATCGAAGACTTACAAGCGAAAACCGACAAACTGGTCGAAGAAGCAGCCAGAGAAGACAGGACTCCAGGTGAACATAGACAAGACGGAGGTCATGAAAATAACCAACCAACAACAACAACAGCAGCAGCAACATCTAGCGCCAATCACCATCAACGGGAGGGATTTGAAAGAGGTTACTTCATTCACTTATCCAGGGAGCACTGGCTCAACTACAGGCAGATGGAACGGACGAGGATGTCAAATCGAGAATCGGGAAGGCGAGAAACACATTCATCAACCTGAAACCAATCTAAAAATCTTCGTCACTCAGCCTGCATCAACAACAAAATTCGGATTTTCAATACAAACGTCAAGTCAGTCAGTTCTTCTATACGGATCAGAAACTAGGCGGGTCACAAAGAATATTTCCAACAGCCTGTTGCACACCTTTATCAACAACTGTCTTCGCTCTATACTACTGAAGACCAGCTGGCCGCCAGAAAGAATCACCAACAAGAAACTATGGGAAAAAACAAAACAGGAACCAATCGTCCAACAAATATGCAGGAGAAAGAGGTGGAGATGGATTGGACACTCGCTGAGGAGGCCACTGGGCGACATCACTCGTCAGGCCAGTGCTCGAGTGGAACCCGAAAGGGAAGCGACGAGTGGGACGTCCAAGGGTGACATGGAGGAGATCATGTGAAGAGAAGTTGAAACAGTATGGACTAACATGGATGCAGGTGAAAAGTACAGCACAAGACAGAAGCAAGTGGAGACGTGCAGTTGAAGCCCTATGTTCAACCAGGAACCCAAAGGAACAATAAATAAATAAATGCATTAAAACGACCGTCATCAATTGACAATATTACTTAAATTTTATAACAGAGTTATTTAATTTTTTTTTTTTTGGATTTACAGCTTGATTTCCACACCGTATTTTCAGTACAAGTGTGGAAGTTTCAGCATGGATATCGGTTGCCCAAATTCAGGCATACCATAGATATCGGGTGTGCGCCGGCAGGGGTTCGAACCCCGGACCATGTGCATGGTCGGCGAGAGTCCTAACCACTGTGCCACCGACGCTATCTATTGGTAGTAAGAACCATGAATAGTTGAATATGGATTGCTAGTGGAGGCAGTTAGCTTGTGAGTCGGTGGCACACAATCTTCACCAATCATGTAGATGGTTCACAAGCGTTTGATCTTTGGCTGACTGACTAGTAAACCTCACCTGCTATACTAACATGGGAAACGGGTTAGGCTAAGGTATGTGGCGGCTAGTAACCTCGCCCGCATGTTGTAGATTAGAACCAAGGCTTCCTGAAAGGTGAATTCATCGCGTCAGTGGCCCCTCGTCCCTTAAAAGTAACCTCAGAGAAACCGTTTTCTGAAACGAACATGACAAGTTACCTCACATGTATGATGAATAACGTTAGCTGAATTCATATTATTTTGTAAAAATGTTAAGTTTGGATAAACCAAAACATGATATGACCAGTTTATGCAATCTGCACCTGTTAATCTGACTGATGTAAGTAGGCGTGTAGGTGAACTAAGTGTTGGGGAGAGGGGTATCTTAGAATGCCAGCAAATAAATGTGATAAAAGAGATTATTGATTAAATGGCTTAAAGTGGAGTATATGTACCCACTGGTGGAGAATTGAAACATCATCAGTCGCTAGGGTTTGTTAAGATGAATCCCTCTATCTTCCCCTAATCTCTCTCTTTCTCTCTCTAGCATTCAAGTTTTATCATTCTAGCCTCATTCTGAGTATGGTTCACCTAATCTATATTCTGCATACTCCTTCGAATTGTACCAAGTCTTAAAAACAGACTCAATCAATATCACGGGAGAAAATCTTTTTTAAGAAGACAAAGTGGAAAGAAAGAGGATTCCATGTCTGCCTAACCGAATTTATCATTCCAAAGTTAAATACAAATCATCCATTCAGCCACTGGGACCCGATTCAATGGCCCATGAATTCTAAGTCGTGACCAGTAAAGTACATCCAGTCAAGTATGAGGATGGATTTCCTGCCAATGACATGGGTTGGTGGTCGCGCTAAATCACGAATTGGAAGGAGTTAGAATACATGGGCTGGTCATTGAATCAGATCTCAGAGGCTGAATGGTATACGAGCCAACTTGCCTTGTAACCGGAAGGTCCTGGATTCGGACCCCACAGTGTGGGTGCGTACTGCCGATGATTCCCAAAAACACTAGGATGAAACAGCTGTCCAGTACTCCTAGCTGGTTTTCAATGGTTCTCTAACTGATATCAATCCGTCATCAACTCGCAAAAACAAAACTAACCCTTAAAAACCAAACTATAGAAAACAAATCATCCGCCCACGTATACACATAATCAAACGAATGAATAAAGTTACTATGTTTCAGGTATTTATCAGTGTAACTCAGAACTTGACTTCTTAGAAGCCATGTTCGCACAAAACGGTTACCCTAACCGATTTATTGACAGTAGCATGATAGATAAGCAGTCCAAACTGGTCACGAACTCAGTTCCGAAGATAACCTCATTCATGAACTTGGAATTCAAAGGTGATCATCAAGCTTCAGATATGCTCAAAAATCGTCTCTCTAAATCAGACAGTAAGACGTTCTTTGCAGAAAAATTACAAATGACGTTAATCAGCCGCAAGTTGTTCTCTACCTCCGCCTCCATGTGCATCTATTAGTTCACCTGCTCTTGTCGAGCAATGTACATTGGCCGTAGTCAGAGGACGCCGATGTCCACAAGGAGAACATATTCCAGCATAGTTTTACAAGGGAGAAAGGAAATGTGTGCGAAGCTCTATTCTAGAACACCTGATCGACTCCTATCACTCTGCCAACCCTGACCACGATATTAGGATCATCTACCGAATCCATGTTAACTTCCCGCGTTTTCTCCGTTACAGACTTCTAAAGACAGCTGAGGCCTTGGCGATTCATGACTCTAAGCCAGACCTTTGTGTACAAAAGAAGTATGTATAATGCCTACTTCTGTCTTGGCCGTAGGGGGATAAACAATTATTTATTTAGTTATTTTATGTACCTTTCCCTTATTACTACGATTATTATTAGCATTATTATTACTATTAATATTCTCACTCTGAATTGTTTCCACTTGTCCCACTTGTCATTCTAAATGCAAAATTATTCATTTTTATTTTTACAATACTGAATTCTATCTTATCAAATTTCACACCATGTTATGTAACATTTTATATTAGCCCACTAATCCTATAATTATGTACCCCTTTCCAACATCTGTACACCTTATGTATTATTCTATATATGACATGAATTATTTTGCCACTTGACATTAAACTATGATTATAATCACAAATATTTTAATTACATTTCATACTAATATTATTATTTCATGTACTCACACCTTTGATTCAATTCCCTCACTGGATATAATTTCTTAAAAACCATATTGATATACGATTGTACAGCTTGATAATAAATTCGTTGAGGAGAAAAGAGTCTCTTCGCTGAATATTGTGTTCTTAAAATGATAAGACCAGACCACTTCTAGTTTGTGCATTCTTCTCTCTTCTCTGACTACAGATCCTTTTGAACAATGATGTCATGTAAGGCAAATCAATTACACATTCGATTGACTCCGTTGATTCACCACAAAGCAAGAAAGACCAAATGGCTTGCGTACACAGGCATACAAAGCAGTGCTATCATCTTATTTCACAGGTGACAAGGTAGGTGCCTCCTGTTATCAATCAGTTGTAGACTTCAAATTGTTGAAATGATAGTAGAGGAACGAGGCTTTAAAATAAAGCCATTTCAAAATGCAATAAGCATCACAATGGCATTGGTAATTGTACTATCTGTCTGGGTTCAACAGAGAACTTGGCACCCAAGTGCAGCAGTTCGAGTTGCCACCTTCCAAATACCACACAAAGGTAGACAGGGAAATGAGTAAAGAGAATCAATAGAGTTTTGACAAGTATAAGAGTGAAACAGAATGAGTAATGGTAGAAAGGAATATGAAAGATTACAGAGACTCAATACATCTGCGTAAGCCATTGACAACGATTTTGAGCCATGTCACCTATTGTCTCCAGCCATTCATTCTTAGAGTCCCGAGGGCGGGCCCCAACCCGGAAGTCTGCATCTCCCTCCCTACCTGACTCAGTTTAACTGTCAAGGAATTCATAGATTGATGAGGCCATGTTTTTGTTGGCCACCACTTACTCTTTTCCAACCTGCACCTATATCAGCTAGTAATACCCGTCCGTCGGGGGAGGCGACGGTTAGGCATGCGCAGCACGTGACCTAGCCATCTCAATTGTACTATCACATTCAATATGAATGATTACAGATCATCTCTCTCTCTCTTCACAATGGGCATAAATTAAGGATGACGACTTCGACTAAGAATTGTGACGTTTATATCATTTCGGCTGATTTTCTACTGCATCAGCTCATCAGAGACAGAGAGAAAAACAACCTCCAGGGCCAGGCTGGAAAAGAGCTAGCGGCGGTCAAACAAAAACATGGCACCAATCAATGAAATCCACAACAGTTAGTCTAAGCCACGTAGGAAGATGTAGACTTCCTGGTTGGGGTCCTCGGGATGGTAAAAACCAATGTCTGGAAACTATTGGTGACATGGCTCAAAATCGTTCTCAATGGCTGGCGCAGAGGCATCCACTCCTTGTGACTTATGATTTCCAATGAAACTGTTTTGTTCTCTGTTATTACTATACCTTTGTCTCACACCTCTGTTTACTGTCTATATTATGCATTTCTCCTACTTTCTTCTCTTGCTTTGTGTGCTACAGGGATTGTGGCGACTTGAACTGCCGCACATATGTGCAAAGTTCTATGTCGAAAACCGACCGACCGACCGACAACCTCTGAAACAGAATGATGATACCGTTTGGTGTATGTATACTGTACAAATACGCCGCCCTTCTTACTTCATTTTATCAAAGTAGATCAGTTAAACAAAGAAAGAGAATAACATTTTCTTTAAAAAAAATTCATTCATAAAAAAAGATCATATTATGTTAAGAAGGCAAAATTTAGAAATAAAAACAAAAAAACAAGCTGAAAATGTCAGCAAAATATTTTCAGAGAATCAAAATCAGAGAGAATAGTAAAAAAATCAGAGATTCATTCCAATTGAGAAATTGCATAAATATTTATGCTAAAGACAAAGAGATAGATAGCTAGATAGGTAGATGGATAGAATAGATCTGAGCAATAGTCACGTCTTTTATCCCGGTTCCGCATATTAAAACAAGAAAGGCGTAAATCATCATCATCAGATCAATGAGACATAATTGGCTGGGAATAGACCAACTTTATGTCGACAAACACCTTTCCACCAACCTTCATCGATTTTCTCAACTTCAGTTATTGTCTCACCTGTACAAAAGGTCAGTTCATCATCTTCACCTAAAGAATCACATAAAGTAAGAAGAACAGGACAACAGGGAATAAAATCCAATCAATAAAAATAATATTCACATTGGTGTTGAAAATTCGAATCTTGTTCTTTATGCTAAGAACTCAACCAAATCAAAAGCATCTACCTGAGATAGACATCTTCTCTATTATGACTCAATGGTGGTGGTGGTGGTGTGTTATATACCAGTCTATCACTGAGCTTTCGTGGAAAGTTCTCCACTGAACAGTAAATTTATCTCAACTCTCAACATTCACCACCAAACATTCAACTATTATAAGAAAATCATACAACACACATTCGAACAAGAAGAAATGAATTCGCTCAGCACATAGATCAGCAAACGAGAGAAACAGTCCTCCAGTGTTTAAATAATTTCAATTAGAACAGCAAAGAGACCTTTTTTGATATGATTAATTTCATACTATTCACTCATATTAATCAGTAGTAGACGTCGTTATACACAATTAGCACACTTTCTTCATTGTGCTTTATCGTATTAAGTAGATCACATTATATGACCTGTATATTTCTGCTTCTCAAAGAAGCCTATGTTGAGTACTTAACTCGATTTGTGTAATTTGAGAGTGATGATAGAGATTCCAGAGCACATTGATCAGATGATGGATGATGAGGTGAGACGATGATTATAAATAATCGTGAAGAAAAGACTTCTCAGATTCAACGTCACAGAATGGGAAGACGGTAACTTCCTTTATCCCTGTGAGAATTGAAACTGTGCTAGTCAGTGCTGGAAGTCAGAGACTTCATTTCATTTCTTCAATATACAACCACAGCTTCATATCTGAATACTTATACTACTTTTCTAAACCTAATAAGCAACACAGAGCAATTGTACGTGGAGATAAGCTAAGGGATATTATATTTCCAGGCATTGTGACTCAATCGAACAGTTTTTTTTTTGGATTTCAGAAAGACAAAAAAGCGTCTCCTAGACATAGTTTGATACGCCTTACTAATGATGATGATGATGGTGAGTGCTGACTAGGTGCAAAATCACCTTGGAAATGCAACTTCACCCTTATATGAAATTTAACTTTTCAACGCCATGGTTAATATCATCAAAACTTAACCATGTCTTTCTAAAGCAGTCATAAATTCAAGTGAATGAATACACCTGGATATCATGATGCTGATGATGAATACACGTGTAGGCTTCTCTCTCATTCATTCATTGTACAAATCAATACATATACAACAATAACTACTACTACAACGTATATAGAAACAGAAGGCTAACGCATATTATAAATGTAAGCGTAGTCACTTGGGAACTCTGAGTGTAGTGCGATGGATGCAGTTGCATTCTACATAACTTGGTTTTCAAATATTACACACAGTGATGATGATGATGTAGTATTAAGCACTGGATGACAAGGTTTCGAGCATAAATTATTGTCAGACGGCTTCACAACTAGTCATATATATATATATATATATATATATATATTCTCTCCGTCTTCTCCTTGTTGCCACTTTCCATATCTCCGGTATAAGCACTGCATCATTTCGACTGCACTTATTCTGTGTTGAATCAATAAACAAAGATTCAGACATACACTTCTCCCTCAAGTGAACCGTATTACTTTTCAAAAGTACTTTCAGCTTGTTCCACCCATCCTATTGTGTTATTACAAACAAGTGAATGCCTTACAATAGCTGAGCTCTGTTTCTTCTAAGTTATTTAACTTAGCAGGGTCAGTTGTTTTGGGTCTAGCTAAATGTTTATGTGCCAAGAATCTAGTTGATCCTGATATACTATTTTGACGGCTTATGTAATTGACCTCATTCACAGTCAGCATTACATGGTATTTGGTATATTAGATTATTTTTCCTAATTGGATCTACTGGGTCCTTGAACCGACAAGGTTTATCTCTGAGAGAATTAGTTGGTTGGTTAGCTTAAAAGCCAACTTGAGTCATTACAGCCTCAATGAGAATCCTGCAGAAGGCCTCTGATGTTCCTTCTTTATACAGCAGTACTATAGATACTTTGAATTCTAAATTATTTTCATTACTTTCATTACTGATCCAATTTTTTTCTACGGTTTCTCATCCATTTCTGAATAAATCCTCGTGGGCAGTTATTCATCAGTAATACTTCCTCTATTTGTTCGATTTCATTATTTAAATCTTCTGGCCCACTTACTAGTTAATTAGACCCTTGGCCCGGTTATGTGCAGACATTTATCTAAATATATTCACCTTCACCGATTCTCGATAGGAGGAATTACAGTGTAAGTGTTTATCAGAGTGTGTGTATGTGTGTGTCAGTTTTCTATAACTGCCAGCTAGTATCTAACCTCCCACCATCTTGTTTTCGTTTGATTCTACAGTCTATTATAGGACATAATTGACATTCAACACGCACTATACCTCATCAACAGAGATATCTATAGACATATTTCGACAAAATGTGCACGTAATGTGACTGTTGGAGACTGTGGGTGTATCTATGCGCGTATAACACAACACAACACATCACTCTCTCGCATCATGACAGTTTAAATTAAACAATGATTAGCAATAATAATAATAATAATAATAATAATAATAATAATAATAATGGTGACGATAATGGTGATAGAGAATAGAATAGATGGCAAACAGGAGCGTGAACACGAATACATCCATGAGAAAACAATTCACACCACCAAATAGTCATGGTGACTGAATGTGAAATAGTGGTAGGAATATAGTCCTCTAGATATAGTAGATAAGTCTATCTGATATAAGTAGGGATGTGATGTATCCAGGACAATTTGATCGCTGTTCACAGTCACACCAATGAATTTAACCAAACTTCCTTTATAAAGCCTCACTCACTGTTGCGTCCTTCTCACTCAGAGCCATCACAGATGACTCGATGAATAAGACAGGATTCAGTGGTTAAACTCTCTCTCCCTCGCGCGCGCGCTCACTCTCCCCCTAATTGTATCAATTTCTATATTACTCCTACCTAATACTACCACACCCAGTTGCTCAAACATTTCTTGGACAGTAAACAATTTCTCATCAAACCTGATCCATCCTATGTGAGTCAGCTACCAATTCCCGTCACTCGAGGAAGGCGATCGATGGCTAGGAATGCTTGAAACATGTCGTAGCCATTTCACTCAATCGATGTAGCTTCACAAACCATGGCCTCAATTTTACTCACCACCATATTTTACCACCTAATACGGGACCTAATAGGACACAGACACATACGACGAAAGACAACTGGTCTTTTCATATCACCCATTTTCAATGGCCATGTCCCAATCACGCAGATGTAGGAGGACGGAGAGAACTGATACTGTGCAGTACACACGTCCTTTGGTCGACAGATAGCCAACCGGATGGATATCACGTCTACTAAGGTAGAAATGGCATAAGTTGGCTGACAAATGCCAAACCAGTCATCGGTCATTTTGTATCCGTGCCGAGATTTCATCATCGATCAGTCAGTCCATTGGGCCTGAAGCAACTTCCCCCCTCCCAAAATGGCTCAAGTGGTCAACACGCTCTACCACTTCACTTCCCTCTGTTCATAAGCTACGAGTCAGTTTATTCTAGTTCAGTCTTGTAGCATCATATTATATTTGATAGGAGTAAATCGCATGTCAAACATTCGAAGACTGCTGCTTCGCAAGGTGTTCAGATGACTCTGCATTTTGTCAGCGTCTTCGCCTAGAAGCAGGACCATATCATCTGCATATTCTAAGACAACAAGACTATTTGCTGACAACAAGCCAATCCTTGAGTCGATGAAGTCAGTTAGGGTTAAGTTCATTATTACATCTGGGCTACCTTTCTGTTACATCTACATATTTGCATCTAATACATCATGTTTTAATTTTTAATTTTAACTAAATATGATCACAAATCGTATCAAATACAGTAATGAATTCTTTAAATGTTTTAAACCATATGACTTTCATGCATCTAATAAAACCAAGAGAAAACATCATGGTGGTTGGCAACGTGCTCTCAAACGGACACCATTATATCGCACAATTATTCCTGTTATCGTCAGTTCAAACTGCCGTTCACTTCCCAAAAAAATTATGCATCTCCAGTCTCTCTTATCATCCGATACTTATCACAATACGGAGATAGTCGCATTACAAGAAACATGGCTTCATGATCTTTATGACGACAACCTGGTTTCTCTAAATGGTTTCACATTGTTTAGGCAAGATGGAATATGCTCTAGAAATAAAAGAGGTGGTGGTGTCGCAACCTTCATTCATTCTCAGTGGTGTGTGTCAGTTTCCTTTAAATGCCAGCTAGTATCTAACCTCCCACCATCTTGTTTTCGTTTGATTCTACAGTCTACTATAGAACATAATCGACACTTAACACGCACTATACCTCATCAACAGATATGTGCGTCGGTGGCACAGTGGTTAGAACTCTCGCCGACCATGCACATGGTCCGGGGTTCGATCCCCTGCCGACGCACACCCGATATCTATGGTCGGCCTGCAAAATTTGGGCTACCGATATCCATGCTGAAAATTCCATACTTGTGCCAAAAATACGGTGTGGAATCAAGCTGTAATCAAAAATAAAAAAAATCTATAAACATATTTTGACAAAATGTGCACGCAATGTGACTGTGGGAGACTATGGGTGTATCTGTGCGCGTATAACAACAACACAACACACAGACCCTTTCTCTCTGCATGACATTCTAAATTAAACAATGACTAGCAATAATAATAATAATAACAGTAATAATAATAATAGTGACGATGATGATGGTGATAGAGAAAAGAATAGATGGCAAACAGGAGCGTATGTGAATGTCTTGGAAGCCCAGGCAATTGACGGGCTTGCGTTGAGTGACAATCACAGGTATTTCTCACGGCATCGTTCACATCAAAATATCGCTAGATAATCGTCTCAGTGATAATTGTTCTCCAGTTAAAAAGAGAATAACCCCATGAACTGGCTGATTTCTATGAGGATCAGGTGGGGGTGA